GGCTGTAGTAGAGCGCCGTGAGGACGACGGCCAAAACGACGGCGATAAGCCACAGAAACGCGCGGATGCGGCGCCGACGCCGGTTGGGCGACACAATCTGCAGCAGCATCGGCGGGAAAATGGTGAAAATACCAATGTATGTCGCGTTGGTCAGCTGGTAGATGGAGTGGGACTTGTCCGGGTGCATGCGGGACGACCCGTGCCGGTAGACGCTGGCTATCAGCATCGCGATGCAAAAGAGGAGGCCAGTGTCGAGGAACGCTTGCACGGTCTCGTGAAATGCGGCAACGAACCAGTTCCAGCGCCGGTGGTGGTACTCAAAGGTCCGGAATGGCTCAAACTGGTCCGCCGAAATCAAGACAAAGTACAGAGTGGAAAAGACTGCCGCCAAGTAGTAGACCACCATGACACCAACACCCGCCAGGTCGCCATCGCCATCCCACACGAGCTTCTCACACATTTCTGCGGGACAGTAGGCGTAGGGAAACTGCACCATGGCTTCGTACAGCGTCGAATTAGCCGAACCATCAGCGAGCCACTGCGCCACCTGCCCGAAGGTCGGCAGCTCGCCGCCGCTCGGAACCAACGCTGAGATGTACTGGTACGTGGCCATAAGCGGCGGGTCGCTCAGGTCGGTGTCGTTGTAGCGCGAGTTGATATAAGCGGACAGCCATTGTGCAGCGACGCCACAGTTTGAGTCGTTGAACAGTGCAGCATCTACATCTGGTGGCGTCCAGCCGTAGAAAGTGTCAGCCATGATGATGAAAGTAGCGAGCTCGTCGAGAGTCAGACGGGAGCCAGGGAGGGGGGAAAGAGAAAACGCTTGAGGCGAGGTTCGAAACTTCACGCATCCCGATGGGATGTATGGGCATCACCTCCCTTTTAACTCAGATTCAACCCACAGGCGTACAAGATACTCGACAGAGCAGCCTTGCACCCCATGGTCCCGGCCCCGGCCCAGACCCTCACAGTAGGGTTGCAACGAGCGAAACAAGCAGAGGCGAAGACCAAAAACGGCAAACCCAACAACGAATAGATGTGCACGACAAGCATCGCCCCGGGCTATTTTCCAGGGCCACTCCCATGCAACAAAGTCGCGCCAAATTCTCACTCCTGGACCCATCGCTCCAGACCCCTGGCAAACAAGAAGCGTGCATACTACATACGGAGAACATCGTACAATGTTTTGGTCGGATTCCCTCAACTGTTAGAGTGCCAAAGAGTTATGTACGGACACATCCTTTCTGTTTTCTGTTCTTGTCTTAGCCGGGGGCCCAGGGTCGGAGAAAGAAATCAAATCAAGACTCACAATGACTGGGGGAAAGTGGAAAAAGAAGGGACAAATCTGTGTACACGTAGACGAAAGTAGTGGAGCATGTTTGAAAGTGCTTTCGTCGAAAACGTTCAGATCCCCATTTCTCGCAAACAGGCCCTGGCATTTAGGTTTTGGGGCTGAAAAACCGTCAGCGCAGCGTGTCACCGGCGTGTTTCCTTGGCCCCGGCCAACTCCCTCGGTCATAACGGAAATGATCCGCTTGAACGTGCTTAACGTATCTGTCGTATCGTTAGCGCGAAGCCGTTCGGACCATTGGCGAGCCTGCCAGGCCTTTCTCTTCACAAGGACCCAGCCTCATTTTAGACTGCCAAAATGAGTTGGCCAAACATATGCAGTATACTTGTAAGGAGACGAAGTAGAATAATACTCAGCCACTCCTGCAATACTCCCACACCGCACATGCTGCAAGCTCGGTGGCCCCCATCCTGTGGGATAAAAATAAAATTCAGGCGGCAGGCACTTTTGGGCGAAGCATCGAACAAGGCCTGGCCGAGCACCAGCGTCTCCAGCGGCTCCAGCGTTTGCGACATGGCGTCTATGGCCTTGGTGATGGGACGGAAACGCGGCTCACTTGGCTGATTGTCCGTTCGACCTTGGCTGCGTGCGCTTGTTGCTCTACCCGCCTCCTAGGGCTGAGAAGGCGAAAAATAAAAATAAAGAAGTCGACTAACAACACTCTGGACACACGCTTCGTATATCTAAGCTTTTGCTTGTGCGTTTGTGAGCCCGAAGACTCTCGTTGACGATGTCCAGCGACAAGAGCCAAGCCGGCATTTCCAACTTTTTCTGCAATTCGACCTCATGGGCTGGTCACGAAGGGCGGATCAGCAATATGGTGGCAGGGGGCCGAAAGACAAATTAGGAGAGAGGAGAGGCGGCAAGCAGTGTGTTTCATCGAGATGTAAACGGCGGCCCACACAGAGTACGATCAACCCGAATGGACGTATGCTGGGAGAATACGAGTGGACAATTTTGCAGAAGCGAAGGGCCATTTGCGTAAGGAGTACAGAATACAGCACTCGCCGCAAAGTCGGTATGGTAGCGCAATACTTGCCACAAACAAAATACTATGCTTCGAGACAATAGCCACATCAAAAGGGTAAGCCGCAGAGAAACAGACGGTGTGTGTGTGTGTGTGTGTGTGAGCTCGTCTGCTACATAGATGTTCGCCCTCTGCCTCGATATCGACTGGATTTGTAATGTGAAGTAAATATTCCTTGCACCACTATTTTGCTGCGACATTATTTTGGCGAGAAACGAAGTGGAAAGCGCGACAACGGCCGAAAAAGCCCTACGAGACATTGCTGACAGGGATGCCAACAAGGATGCCTCGATGCCCTCTCGCTATGAGCATCTCGGACCACAAAAGATCCTTACCAGAGTCGAAATCTTTGGGTGCGGAAATCAAAATCAAAGGACCCTCTTGCTGACGGACGGGTGGATTCGTTTCCTTGCCGTGCCAAGTGGAGGCCAGTCACGGGAGAGGCTGGCAAAGTATTTCGTACCAACCTGGCATATCGGCCACTGCGCGTTTCGCGTGTTCACGCAGTGGCCGTAAATGCAAGAGGAAAGGAGGCCTGTTTCTTTGTTTCAACCGCGTTATCGTGTTGCGTTTTCGTCTTGGGTTTCTGCCACAGTACAATAGCTGCCGCATACGACATACACGGCAGCCACCAGGTTGCACATGGCCGTATCTTGTATGGAACCGGAGTGAGGAACTTCGCCTCCTTTTGACATGATCAGAGGGTTGTCCGTGCTGGTCGCTTGCTGGGAGATGGGTGCATCTTTTTGGTCACGCCTTAGATCACATGCTGAAAAACGTCTGCATACCGGAATTGAAGTGACGGCTGGCTGCAGATGCAATGCAGATGGCACGTTGGGCGAGTGGCTTCGTGTTTGAAGGTTGTCGTGATTGTTTGGGTTTATTAACCTCGTGGATTGCCCCTTTTCAAAAAGTGTCCCTTGCAATCTGCCCCTCATGGTTGCCTTTTCTTCCATAAGAAGCGCATTAAAGGAAAGAGCAAGGACCACAGTTTATTATGCACAAACAAGAAGGAGAAGATTGGGGAAGAGCACAGCGTAAAGAGCAGCGGCGTGACGTCCAAAAAGCTGGGGCGGCCTGGGCTAGGCTTCCGCGCCGTTGACGAGCCCACATACTTGGTAAGTATGTTCACCGTATGACTGCCCTGTGAATGTGAGGTCATACACCACGCTACGCCCAATACAAACAGCTTCTTGAACCCCACCCTCGCTAAACGGCCGCCTCCAAACATCACCAAGACCTCACACGCGGCCATCTATATTCTCGAAAAACAGATCCACGACAAAGCATTCCTTACTCGATACCAGACACATCTGCACTTTCAATCTTCTATCGATACCCCGACTAGAGCTTTAGCCGACCTAGCACGTTAGTTGGGTCCCGACATCTCCATCTCCGAAACAGTGCCTTTCTCGACAAAACAGACGTCATGGCCGACCAGACCAGACAGACTACCGCCCCTGCGCCCGCGGTGCCCGCGGTGCCCGCCGAGCCGTACGAGCCGGATACGCGCCCCGATGCGCCAAACGCCTTTATTCCGCTCGAGGCCAACCCCCCGCTGATGACGGAGCTTCTACACAACCTCGGCGTCGCCCCTACGCTGGCCGTGCACGATGTGTTTAGCTTGACGGAGCCCGACATGCTGGCGTTTGTGCCGCGGCCGGCCATGGCGCTGCTGCTGGTGTTCCCAATCTCAGAGGCATACGAGAAGCACCGCGTGGCCGAGGATGCGGACCGCGAGGTGTACACGGGCCACGGCAGCCAAGAGCCGGTCCTCTGGTTCCGGCAGACAATCCGCAACGCGTGCGGCGTCATGGGCCTGCTGCACGCGACAGCCAACGGCCCCGCGCGTGATTTTGTGGGTGCCGGCACGCCGCTGGATGCATTGCTGAAGCGTGCGGTCGACCTGGACCCGCCGGCGCGCTCCAGGCTGCTGGAGACCGACAAGGCGCTGGCCAAAGCGCACCATACGGCGGCTTCGGGCGGTGCCACCGCAGCTCCCGATGCGCGTGACGATATCGACCTTCACTACGTCTGCTTTGTCCGTACGGCCGACGGTACGTTGTGGGAACTCGACGGCCGCCGCAAGGGCCCCATCTCACGCGGCAAGCTCGGCGCCGATGACGATGTGCTGTCCGAGAAGGCCCTCGAGTGGGGTCCGCTGGCCTTCTTGGCCCGCGAGTCGGCCGACTTGCGCTTCAGCTGTGTGGCTCTTGGACCTAGCTTGGATTAGACATGCACAGAGGAAACAAACGACGGAACAAATGTTGCGACCAAGGACACCAACTTAGCACCAGGGATGTGTTTGCTGACGACATGGATGTGTGGTCTGAACAAGGAAGCAAAACAACAGGAAATATATGTCTGCAGCAAAATCGATGAGGACACGGTCGGACTCGAGTCAGCTTGATGTTATTGCGGCGCAAGGGATATTCGGTTTATTAGGTACAGGAACTCGTTCTGCCAAAGTGGCGAGACTTTCAAGAATATGCATGAAAATGAAGAAATGACATTTCCGACACACAGCCCACCAGACCCAGTCGCACTGACAATGACAGCCATTGCTGGTCTCTTGCTCGTCTTATCCATATCTCTCCCCAATTGAGTATTACCGCCATTGTTTCAAGCTTCAAAGGCACGCACGCTTGAGCTCACGCGGAAGCCCTGCTTGCTCAACGGATCGTTGCAGCCGCTCAAGAGGTTCCGAAATCTGGACGACATTAGTACGGAAACCATAAACAAGAAGCGGGGCAGATTGTGCAGTGTATTGTAGAGCCACACACAGTTTGTCTTCTTCAACATAAGCTGTTTCGCGATGGTCTTGAGCTTCTTGCCCGCGGGCTCTCCAGAGATACCTCCGACCTTTGTGGGAAGAGGCTCAGGCTCTTTCGGAGAAGGCTCGGCAACTGCCTCAAGATTGGTGTCGACGACGGCCTTGTTTTCGGGGGTGCTGGTCGATAGCTGCACCTGCACGGCAGCTGTGCCTTTACAGATTGTTAGAATGGTACAGCTGATGATAGGGAGTGGCAGAGTGGCAAGCTCAACAGAATTGCATACACTGGTCGCACGGCTCGTCCGAAGGGCCATCGGAGTTGCAACCTGTGGCTGAGCAAGTGCCGTCAAGCTGCGAGATGGAACTCATCTTGGCGATAGCTTGGCGAGTAGTCCCGTAATAGGATGGTACCGGTTGAGTGCAGCCCCGAGATCAAAATGAGAAACAAAGAAAGACGGTCGAGAGAAATGAGCCAGTAAGCGGGTCAGTCGTAACGCTTTAGGTCTGCTGGAACTGCGAGTGAGAAAATGAAAAGGTCGAGAAGAGATAACTGGAACATATGGTAAAGAGAGTAAATGAAGGACGCAAGTCGAGAGCACCTTTGTCTAAAGGAAAACCATTTTTTGAGCAGATCCAGTAACTTGGATGTCACTGCGACAAGGCTTCCTTCCCAGCATAATCATAACTTGTAAACAAACAACGCGAGCTGCTACTTGCATACCTTGTTGTTGTCCTTCCTATACAATGCCAGTCTCTCCTTCCCATCGACTTCTGTCAACCTTCTGTTCTGGGCGTTGTTGACGTAGATATTCTCTATTAGGCAGTCAAGTCGACGTCAAATTGACAGGAACGTCAGGGCCCGCGATGTCGGAACGACAACTCGCATCGCGTCATAAGCCATTGGCATCAGCTCCTTCCTGAAGTCATGGTTATGTCTCTTTCCTCGCCATGTGGTCCTTTCAGGAGTTCAGGAGCAGCGTCTGTTCATCATTCTCGCATGGCTGGAGCCTGGCCTTTGGTATCTCAGGCAGATTCAATGGACACACTTCCTGATCTCGAATCATACTAGAAACACTGCCCACAACGGACAATTGTCAGCAGCACAGGCGCCACATGACTCTTCGTAACACGGCTCCTGCCCGAAACCCAGCAGTATGGTGGCACGGCATTGCCCCGCGAAAACGAGCCACCGGGACGAGAAAAAGACGGGAGTACGGGATACGGTGAGCGGCCAACAAGAGATCGAAATGCACCAGAGGCATGGAAAGGCAAGAAAAGGACAACGGGGCGTTACGTGGTCGCCACCATCTCGCCGGAGAATGGGCGCGCCGCTACGTATATGCAAGCAGGCGGCCGCCACAGTACAATCAGACACGGCCATTTCTCACCACTTCTTGTACTCCACAAGATGCACGCCCATTCCCTGTATATCGGCGACCGCTCTTCTTCGCAGGGAACCTGCCTCGGTTGTAGCTCAAGCCTGTGCAGCTTCTTGCGGCGTTTGTGGCTTTCTTGGAGTGCCCGGCATGCAAAAGGTCAGTCTCCCTCAACCGGTCATTCGGTTTGGTCGACTGCCTGTGTATTTGAGATGCGGATCGAATGCCTCTCCATCTCTTGTGTCTCTGTAGTGAATTTTAAATGGGGAGAGAACAGACCGGTTCGAAGTGTCGAAAGCATGGAGGTAGTTGCCACACTAGCACGGACCTGAACCTAGGCAGGATGTCTGAACGTGCAGAGCCGTTGGTGGGAAGAAACAAAACAGAGAGACATTTTGTTCAAAGGATGGATCTGGTGACCATCCTACCGTGCACATACAAAAACCGGTCACGGCTATGCTCGGGGCGCCCTTTCCTGGGGTAGGGTCCGTTTACCGCCCAAGCGATGCAACACACCAAGGAGCCCCCTGTATGACGATGTGGTGTCGCACTGAGGATCTGTTCGTGCACCAGCTCATGAGTGGATGGATGGGAGAACCGACCGTGGAGTCCCTGACCTTTTGGAGAGCTTGTCGTTTGGGAAGCATTAGGGACGGTATGTCGTGCAATTTAACGAACCGGGTCGGCGAGGTGGTCAGACAGAGTTGTATTGCAGACGGGATCGTAGCCTTGGTTCGAGACTCGCTGATATCAACCTTCAAGAAGCTCGTCTATGTCGAGTTGCGCTTGTTCGTTTGTTTGTTCGTTTGTTCGTTTGTTTCTTTTCGCGTAGACTAGCTCTAAGAAGGGGGCTCTATCCTTTCGTACCGCTGCCAATTCAGTTGTCGTTTCACATCTATGTCCCTCGCAGTTTATCCACCACGGCAGATCTGCCTCTATCAACAGGTGTAAAGGCGATCATACTATCGACCAGCCGCCCAGTCGATCGGAACGGAGAACCGCACGTACATCGCTTTGCGCACACGTACGAGCTTGTCCCAGACGCGCCGCTGTCGTGAACGTATCAATAGCCTAGATGAGACAGGCTCTCGTCTGGTCGTCTGCCGTTCGACCATCGTCCCTACTTTGTCGTCTCCCGCATGGGAATATCAGTTCATGCTGGGCCGCTCGGTCAGCAGAGGTTGCTGCGGCTGAAACCCTGCAGGATGTTTGTCCCTTGCATGAAAAATACCGCCATGGCACGGCTTGATATTGGGTATACTGAAATCGCGAGCTTCTTCTCGCTCGTCTATTAAGCTCTCGGCAAGGGGCGTCGATGGGCGACTTAGTTGACTTGATATGCTCCCTTCGAAATTGATGACGGTCAAAAGGAACAGGTGCAGCACGCATCACAGCAGAACTGGACACTTTTCAGCCGTGGCTTTCGCCCTGTCCCTGCAGATGCAGGGAGGGAATATGGACATGGACATGGAGCTGAGTCTACACGGGCATGTCCTTCCTGGACCGTCGAGAGGTGCCATGGTACCGACGTTTTGCTTATGTCTTTCGCTGAAGTCCTTCCCAAACTGGCGCGGCGTTCCTCTTGCTACCCTTCGAGCTATGCGTAGCAACGCCACACCTTCCCTTCCTGCCTTTTCGAGATGTGGCACCAATGCACGGGAGGAAAGCGCACACCGCGTCCAGTCACATCGTAGCAGGAACGAACCCCCATACAGGCCACTACCACTTGGCCATGCGCTGTTGAGGGGAGTGTATTAGTTTCAAGTCCCCTCTGTATGGAAGCCAACGTTGGGAAGGCGCAAAACACGTCGTAGAAAATGGCCACTGCCAGTTGTGGAAGGAGACGATAGTGGATTGGGTGGAAGCTCTTTCTAGAAGGCAGAGTCTCCGCCTGTCTCCGCCCGTCTCCGCTGCTTCTCTGGCGTCAACATTACAAATTCCAGTAAATGCTTTTTTGTTGGAAAGAGAAATATTCCAGTATTCGAATTGTTCCTTTTGCCCCGGGGTTTCGTGTTCTCCTAGCGCGCTCCTCTTCATCGAGATGGAATTCATCATTGCCTCATTGCCTGCCTAGATCTTTCTTTTTATGCCCCTGAACGATCTTCGTTTTAGTGAGCGTGTGTTCGATCCAAAAGATACATCGTTCCTGACTACCTTCGTTCTCTGTTCTTCCCTTTTTTTATCAACCAATGGCGGTTCTGCATCGCTCTTACCGCATACACGGAACACTCTTAGCGTACTTGGGGGCCCACTTCATCCCCAGCAGGCTACTTCAGGAAAGAAGGAGGAAGCACAACAGTGCAAGAGTGCGAATTCGGGCTGACAATAGTTGGCAACGAAGCCCTGTATCACCCACTTATTTGTTATTCCCATTCTATTCCTTGCTTGCCCAGTTGAGCCGGTTTACCTTGACCTGATCAATGGTGCAAAGGTCCGGTTTAGCAGTGGCCGTTTCAAAGTGAGGTAGTGCCAACAGAGGTCTTAAGCTCCAGGAGCAAAGTCAGAGACAGAGCAGGAAGGACCCATGCAAACATATCAATACGCTCCTGCTGACTTAGTCGCAAGAACTGCTTTGACGAAAAGAGCAGTCGCAACCCGAACGAGACACAGCCGCGCCTAAATCACAGTTATTACTGCCATTCTAGGTCCATTGGCACGCCAGACTCGGATGTGTACAGGGATGAGGGAAGCCCCTGTTCCTCCCGCATGCTACGTTGATTGCGTACAGGGAAAGAACGACGTACTCCGTATGAATCTGGGCGGAGCCAATTCGGAGCATCGGCAACCGACGTCCAAAGGACGTTTGTGTTGGCACATTGGATCGCTCTTCGTCGGCGAGTCACAGTTCCAATTTCGCCTACAACATCAAAAAGGAACAAGTGCTGAAGATCGAGCGGAATTTAGTGTTCAGCTTTCTTTTTTTCCTGGGAACGGCCAACCTTTCAGCTGGGTCGCCATTGCCCATTTGGGGCAGACAAATCCTACGAAGTGGAGCCGACAGGGGACAGGGAAGGCGCGGATATGTTCAGTAGACGACATGAGAAGATGAACTGGTGAAAGAAAGGGAAAGAGCCCGTTTGCTGAGGAGGGAAGTCAAGTGGAAGGCACGATGCGTAGTCCTAGCAAGAGCGAACGGCAAAACAGCTCTAACCGTGCCTCAGTCAAAGTATGTCAAAGCGACGAGACAAGAGAGAGACCATGCACTCTTTGGTAATACGCGGAGGATTTTGCGGTTGTCAGTGCACAAAGCACTCAGCGCAGAAACACCAAACGATCGTCGTCACCTGTGTTCTACCGGGCCACGACAGGTCTCTCGTCTCCTCACACGCGGCATTGTTCCTGGTTTTCGACAAACCTCCGACATGTCGCCCTGTCTCAGTTGGGGCCCATTTCAGTCAGAGTGTCGCCGTCGTCTGACCCAAGTTGGTGGCCGCACGGCCGCAGTTCTTGTCATCGACTTTCCCATAAGAGCGATGGCGGGCAAGCGGTTTGGCCAAAACGAGCAAAGTACACGAAAAGCAACGCTCGTGCCCCCTTTCTGTATCGTCGTCGGCCTGACTCCGAGTTGCCGATTCGACCAAAGAAAGACCCTGAGGCAAAGAGACGCGCAAATGAAAGAATCTTAAGCCGCCTACAAGAAAAGCGGGACGGAGAAAAAGAGGACAAGAAAAATACGGTGCCTGAGCGTCTTATCTGCTCGCGCCAAGCAGGGTGATCCCTGTTTACAATCCTTGTTGGGCTGGGACAGAGCACAAAGAAAGTCAAAAGGGCAATAAAAGAAGAGAGAGAAACGCCGGACGCAATCGAACAAAAGTACTTTATGACAGCGTCGTCGACACAGAAATGTGCCCTGTATTACAAAATACCAATCTTCAGAGCTGGCGTTCATGTGCATCGCCAATGGGAGGCAGTTAGCATCGAGAAAAAAGAAGAGTCAGCACTCAGTACAGCGACAAATGAGACGTGCACTCTTGGTGCCAAGTCGTCTTGAAACATTTGCACGCGGCACTTGAGCGCGATGACAAGCGTGTGTATCCTATACCCAGTCTGTGATGGCCTTTGGCGAGGGGCAGGCCATCTTGTTGAACATGGCGCCTATTCCTGTCCTCGCCAAGGGCTGCTTGTTTGCTGATGCTTTGTTTGGTTTTACGCGAACGGGAAACTCATCCCGTGTGCTCCCACAACTGCGACGCGAACAAGAGCAACAAGAGCAGCGGTGAAAGACCAAGTCAAGGCGGTGGGCGAGGATCCTCGACGTTTGTTCACAAAAGACACGTCCTTGTCGCCGACGAGATGGATCCGGTGCGATACGACAGGACGGAAGAGAACCAAACATGGAAACGAAAGAAAATGAAAATCTTCCCGGTGTGGAGCGCATCTGCATGCATGCGCATGCGCTTTGGCTGGCGCCGACACAGCATGCCGTCATACACCGAGCAACACTGCACTGCCCTGGCCGCTCCACATGAGCTGGAGCCACTCTATGGAGGACAGAACATGCGAGGGGAGGTTGCAGAGGGAGGTGGGAATCCGGGGTGCCACTGAGACAACAAACGCTCGTCAAACGCTCTCTTGGGCATCAACCAGTGGCCATACCGCCGTTGTTATCGACAGCCCGGCGTTTGTACTTTGCGTTTGATTGTTATATTCTCTTCTCAGATGCCAACACCTGCGAGAGGCCTTTGCCATAGCCGAAATGCCTCGCTCCAGTACAAAGTTCAACAGGTGCAGTTGCGAGACAAATCAACGCATCCTGGTCGGACTTTTTGACTTACACCCCCTCTGGGCCCGAAATGTTTGGAAGTAGAACAGCGCAAGCACACACCTTGCATTGCAATGGACCCCTCGGCCGCACACCATCTTCGATTCGCCAACGTTTTACAACAGTCTTCGCTCGAAGTTCTCCTTACCCCTGCCCACATTTCGGTCTGCTAGTGTTCCCTCCCTTTACAGAATCTACTCCGTAGCTGAAGAAACGACCCGCCTACTAATTCAAATCGCCCTTTCTTTTTTCCCAGTCAGCTTCCCGGCTGTTTTTGCTAAGCAGGGGCTAGAGCCATGCCCTTTTCATATGGAGAAGCACTTGCGTGTAAGTGTTCCAAAGAGCCAATTCCGTCGTTGATCCCACCCATTTTGATAAGTTCCCATTTATTATCCCACCCCCTCCCACACTTGCTTTACTCTTTTGCCTTCATGTTATCGGATTCGTTTTTTTTGTTTCTTTTTTAACCTTTAATTGTCATCGTTATATATTTCCAGGACTTCGCAAGCTTTTCTGTTCGCTTCTCGTCATTTGGCCAGCACCGATTTGATTTCTTTTCCTACCAGAGCTCAGGTCCTTCCAGCTCTCACCGTTTAGAACCGCTCGCCCACAGAAGCGCTTGACTCCCTGGTGACATCGATCCGGCGAGTGAAGCGGCGAGCAGCGGTGACCTTGCCCTCTTGGCCAGCCTGCCGCCTATGGCAGGCCAACAACCGCTACCATGGGCTTCATGACCTTGCTAGCCAGAAAAATCAACTCTGACAAGAATCAACCGCAACTACGGGCTCCGACATATGAGCGGAATGTTTCGTCAAAGTCTCCCGTTCGATGTATGTATACGCTCTATTTTGTATGAGGTGTTGTATTTCTACTAATACGCCAAATAGATGTGCGGACCGTGTCTCCCAATGTCAGCTCGTCAAATCTCAATGGCAGCCATGCGGCCTCTAGTCCAAGTTTGAGAGACACGAGGCCGCGTCAATATCCTTCATCGCCGCTCTCTCAGACATCGTTCTCCGTGGATCGTGCAGCACCTGCTTCTGTTGTTTTGGGCTCCCGAAGCGACGATATCCCGAGTCGAACGGCCACGCCCAGGACGACTATTCCATCACAGTCACGCTCACACAGACCGCAGAGCTCGGTCTCCAGCAGCAAACTTGCAAGATCAGTAAGAACCGACAACAGCCAGAAAGGTTACGTCGATCTCCTGGATGCACAGTCCGAGTTCAAGCCGACCGATTTCCACACCCGTGTCAAGGCTACGGGAACAAGGGACTATGGCGAGGACGTTGCAGACCGCAACATCGGTGTCAACGGGTGCGATCTAGACTCCCAGCCGGTCCAGGCCTTTTATGCAGTCCGGCCGAAGAGTGCGTATCGTATTTCCATGGTCGATCGGCGCCGCCCTTTCTCTTCTTGGAATCGCTCGGCCAAGTTCAACGAAAGCGACGAAGACAGTGCCTATGGGCCCCATATCACGAAGGGAAGCTCCTTCAACTCAGCACTCTCGTACAAACCCATAAATGCTTCGCACCGGCCTGTCCTTGACCATGGAAACTCTCCACCTCGGCTGTCTGCTGCGTCTCCGGAAAAGAATCGCGCCTTGCAACGCCCATCATACGCATCCTCTGCCAGCACGTACAGCACCCCGAGCCTCGCTGATATCGAAGCCTCCCTCCAAAGCCAGCGACTACTGAATGGAAAAGTGAACGGCCTTGTGTCAGGATGGGAGAGCGAGCAGGATGAGGCTGAGGGCGGCCCCAGATTTGGAGTCAACAACCAGCCCATTCTCTCACCACAACCTACGTCGTTTCGACTTTCTGCGTCATTGGCGAGCTCAGCTTTCACAGCATCAAACAAGCGCCCGGCAACGGCGCACAGCAGCCACTCTGTCCGACGTTCACAGCAGCCAGCCCTTGAGTCCCACAACACCGCGCCAGATCTGTCCAACCTGCCGCATCACCTCAAGGAACAGGCGCGGAATTTCAAGGAGGACTGGCACGATGACTTGATCAACCGTGATTCAGCCCCATCACCTTGTAAGTCACTGCAGAGGCACCTGTAGCGTCCAGTTGAATTTGTGTGACAATTGATACTAATCCCAAATGAAAGTCATCAAAACAAGCCGGTCTCCCAGCATGAACAGAGAAAGTGTTCGCGAGATATACTCCCCTGCAAACAGCAACACAACACCTCGGCCACAGTCCCAATCCGGCGAGCTGGACGACCAAACGCCCCGGACGAACTCGATTCGCCATTGGTCCATGACATCAACGGCCCCAACAATGTCCAGCTCGAGCTTGGCCACGTACGGGCGCCCCCAGTCGCGCCACACGACGAGCACCTCGATCGATTTGAGCACTACTGGGCCACCATCCACCGGCGACGCTGCTGGAAAAGGACAGGGCCAAAACCTCGATGCGAGCCAGAGCCAGCCTCTAGTCGCTCTCCAGTCGCCACTGTTCAACATTGACGACTATGTCTCGTCCGACGACGACTCGTTCATTGCCAGCCAGGCCAAACGCAGCGAGGAGGACCTTCTTTTCAGCGGCGGGTATGGCAAAATGGGCACCCAGTTGCCTGGTCTCGAGGACGCCTTTGCCGTCCCAGCACCAATTGCTCTGGTGCGGAGTCCCCGCCTCATTGCCCTGAAGCACAATGAGGACTTCCTCCGTGCATACGGCGAACCGCACCAGATGGCCGGCAAGCATGATCTGCGGCAAAGACCGAGCGACGAGTCTCTCCACAGCAACCACGGCCAACGCAGGCGCCACTCATCTGGAGCGTCTGATACTGGGCTCCGGAAGACCCACTCGCGCGAGGAGTTGAGCCCGGCCGCGAGCCCTGCCAAGCGCGTGGAGACAAAACGTATGGCTGCAATCTTGGGCTCGTCTACGACCAACCATACACACCACGGCAACGGACCCCTCGGAAGCCACAGTCATATGTACAACCCTCGCCCAAAGCCCCACCTCGGCCACGGAAACAACGTGGGCGAGCAGGTGATTGAGGAGGAGCGGTTCGAAAAGGTCGATGTCGCGACGGCCATTCGCCTGCGGAAGGATGCCAAATCCAGGAAGCGGGCCTCCACGATAAGCATAGTCTCACAGACCGGTGGCCGTGGCCGAGTCAAGGCAGTCAGCGTCGAGAGCCACAAGATGACGGCGAATGTCCAGGAGGCCAATGTCAAGGCCGTGCGCCAGAAGGCAGTCCCTACAACCGCGACCGGGGAGGACTCCGATGCGGCGCTGGACATTGCGAACGTCCCGGAGCTTGTCGTGGATGCCTTGGAGTACCACGAGAACGCCATCGACTCCGACGATGAGTGACATGTCCTTGCATGTATTTGGCGTTTTGCTGGCGGGTGGGTTTATGACGACATACGACACAGCTTGACTTCGACAAGCATCTACACTCTTTTAATGTCCCTACTTTCTATTCTTTTCACGACATCTTTTGGAGTTTTCCCATTCCTCAACATTTCCTTTGTATTGGATTTCATGCCCCGCTTCTTTATTGTTCAGCTAGCCATTTCTATACCCCCTTTTAGAGATATATTATGAATATAAGCTTTACATGCTTTTTTCCTGCTTTTCGTGCTTTTGCTGCTTTGCTTGTCCCCTAATCGTACCAGCTTCCAAACCAACGCATAAGTCTTCCTCTTCAAAATCAGCACATCGCTTTTCGCACAACAGATCGTCCGCCTATTACCATTCTCCCAATACATACCACTTTCCTCCTCACACTGCAGTAGAGGCTGCTGCTGCTGCTGCCGCGGCACGGTCACCGTCACCGACCTCAGCTTCCTGGGCCATGACTTCGGCGACGGTTTCCGCCTCCGCCTCGACATGACAGTCGCACCCAGTCAGGGCCCGGAACGCCTCAACACCCAGACTGTCCAGCTTCGCCAGAGCCTGCTTGGCAGCCGCAATCTTGGCGTACCGGCCACTCTCTGCTATACCGTGGCCGAGCACACGGCCGTGCACCAGAAAGCCGGCGGCCGCCTTGGTCGCAAACGTCACGCACCCATCGCCCTCGTTGTCGGGCGTCTCTTGCACGACGGCGCGCCAGTCACGGCAGCCGAAGCGCTGCGTCAGCACATTGACGGCAAAGGTAACGGGGTGCTTGTTGGCAAATGTGTCGTAGAGCGTCATGTCCTCAAAGTAGGGCAGCACGTGGCGGTGGAAAAACGGCAGCACGGTGCCGTAGTAGTCGTAGCCCGAGTCGACAAAGATGGCGCCAATGTAGGCCTCGAGCACGTCGGCCAGCACTTTCATGGGCCGCGTGACGTGCACCCAGTAGTCGCGCGCAAACGCGGCGCTGGGCTTGCCGGCGGCGACAGCCTCGGCCTCGGCGCGCGTGCGCGCGTCCTCGATCTTGGCCACGTATTCCATGATTTGTTTCTGTAGGTCGCCCGTGAACGACAACAGGTGCTTGTGGAAGCCGAGCGTGACGCTCAGCGTCCCCAAGAACTGGTTCGACACCATGGCCATCTTGTGCTCCGTCAGCCACTGCGGGTCCTTGTCCGGGTACTTGTGGAAAAGGTAGTCGACCGCGGCCATGTCAAAAAGGGCGTCGCCCAGGAACTCGAGGCGCTGGTAGCTCGGCAGCTGCTCGTACACGCGCGGGTACGACGGATGCATGACGGCGCAGCGCAGCAGGCGCGGGTACGTAAAGGTGTAACCAACGTCACGCGCCACGGCTTTGGCCATATGCACCTGGGCGGCGGTGGCGGGCGCGATCTGCCACTCCGGCAGGACGTAGGCTGCAAAGTACTCCTTGTAGGTTCTCATGGGGTGGAACTTGCTCTTGGCCACAACAGACACAGCCTGGACGGCCAAATCAAAGTCGCGCTCCTCGTATGTGGTGAGGTAGGCGGCGCCAATCATAGCCTCGCACACATCGGCAATGCTCTTGTCACTCAGCGCATGGTAGCTACCCTCTTGCTGCTTTCTTCCTTTCTTGAGAATCAAGCCGTGCAGTGCGGTGGGTGTTTTGCCGTTTTCGTCGGGTGTGCCAGTCTTGGCCGCCGCCTCTGCTGCCAACTTCACTGTCTCATCGACAACGGGTGGGTACCAAGCACGGTCAAACTCTTTGGAGCGGATGTACTCCTCAAGCCCTATCTCGAGCGCATTGTTGAACAAGTTCTTATTGCAGATCATGCACATCCGCTCCACGTGGTATTCAAACTCATTCTTGTCCGGGGCGAGCGTGTAGAGTGCAATCGTAGAGGCCATTTTTAGGAACGAGTCGCCCAACAGTTCGAGTCGTTCATAGTTGCGGCCCATGCCGGCCTGGAAGTTAATGGCGGTCTCGGTCGCGCCCGCGTCGTCGGAAACGTCACAGTCTTTGGTGCACGCTTCCAGTGCGAGGCCGGGGTGGATACTAGGCAACCCAATCACGGCCGCGGCCTCCAACGCAATGAGCGTCGACTCGATGCGGTGGATGATGGGCGGCAAATTGAAAATCATGGCAATCGAATCAACAGGGATCTACAGAGTCAGGACAAGCACAACGACAAAAAGCCAACTTACACGACCAGCAGGGGCGGCGGGAATGACATACTGGCGAAATACGAAGTGTATCCAAGACAATAAAGCACCGGCTAGGTCCAAAATCGTCGAGAAACACGCGCTCGTCGAGCAGGTTGCGGCGCTGGTATACGATATCCGCCTCCACAACAACCTGGTCTTGCCGGATCGGCGTGTTGACCCGCGACTTGGACCACAGGCTCACGCTGTAGTTCAAAATGTTGCGCACCGTGTCCGGCCGGTTCCAAGCGCGGTGCTTTGGCGCCGGCGCACCCTCGGGCACCGGATCGAGCGCCGACATATCGCGCCGCACCTGCCGCAAATAGAACTTGCGCGAGCCGTCAAAGGGGTCCGACACAAACTTGTTTTCAAAAAACGAATCGGGCTCGTCGCCCTGGCACGTAATCCTCTCAATCTGTGCGGCGACGTGGTGGATGCTAGTCCAGTCCAAGATCGAGCGTGCATCAGGGCAAGTGCTCTTGTCCGGCAGCACGACGTCGTGCGTGGGCTCGCTGTACGGGGCAATGAAATACGGCATGTCCTTAGACGTGCCCTCGTATTCCTTGCTGAAAACATCATAGAATGCGCGAAGGGTATACGCAGCGAGCGCCTCCAGCTCGTTCGGGGTAGGCTGCATGGGAATGTCCACGGGGACGCAGCGGGCCTTCGAGGCCCGGCCTTTGCTAAAGAACAAGGGGAACTCGGGGAGCAGAGGCATCTTGTGCCGAGACAAGAACACGAGCGGGCGCGAGGGACGGTCCAGGGACTCCGGTTGGGTGAGCGAGAGAATCGAAGCATACAGCTGTGTCGGCATGCCGAGGACCGACCATGTCTCGGGCTTGACGCGCATCGTGTACTGGGCCTGCTTCTTGGAGCTGACGGCCAGCCGCGCGTTGCGCATGGCAGGCAGCCGGGACGCAAAGATGGGGTGCAGATGCTTGTCAATGTACTTCTTTTCGTACAGTTTGAGGCACATGGCAAAGGCCGCTGCGCACTTGGCGACCTGCTTCCGGCTATGGGGTCGGCCGGTCGCCTGGCGGATGGGCGAAGACGATGGCAACACCACCTCGCAGACGAAGCCGTCGGCGGTGCAAAACACAGAGTACTCGGGCTTCGGCACTCCCTCGCTCGGCTCGGGGAGCGTCGACACATACTGGGCCAGGATGACCAGACTGGACCGGTACGTCAGCTTCGCCTGGGTGGACGGCACAACATACACTTGCTGGTCTGTCTCGTCGCGCAAAAAGTAGTCCATGTCAATATCATTTCCCTCCAGCTTGCGGTTTTCCGGCAGCGCGTTGCAAAAGTCGCGCATCTTGTTCTCGCTGGCCTTGTTCTCCGCGAGCAGGCGGCGGTGATCCACGTTGCCGAGCTCGGCCATGTGGATGTATGTCGACTCCTGGTGCCGGGCTCGCCCGCGCGACTGAATATACTGGATCATGGTACCGTATAGGTCGAAGCGGATGACAAGGTTGCAGTCCGGAATGTCCAGGCCCTCCTCAGCAATGGATGTCGCGAAGAGGCAGTTGACCTGGCCACGCTTGAACTTGGAGATGGTCAGCAGCTGCGTGCGGAACGTGTTCTTGCCCATGTCTTTGGATCCGCCGCCGACCAAGACGCCGGTCCGAAGGTTTGGGATCTTCATTTGCTCCTGCTGGAACAGGTCGGCCAAAAGGGTGGCTGTGTAGCGCTGCTCTACAAAGACGATGCACCGCGTCTTCTGGCCGCTGAACCGCGTGAACACGTCGAAAAGGGCGTCGTGCAGCCGCTGAACTTTGTTCGACAACTGGGCCATAGTCGGCGGCACGAAGCGGTACAGCTCCACGAAACGACTGGCGTCCCGCACAGCTACCACATTAGAGTTGTACTGCACGGGCTCGTCGCCGAGACCGTCGAGCTTGAGGGGGTTCCGTCCCGCACCCTCGTCGTCGGGCTGTCTCTCAATCTCGGCCTTCGCCTCCTGTTTGGCGAGTTCCTCGGTGCGGAACAGGATCTGCCAGAAGCGGTCGATGATCCAAGGCCCCAGCACCGAGAGGTTGGCGTCCGCGTACTGGAAGTTACGAGCAAAGAGCTTGTGGTTGCCCACGAGCTGCCGGAGCCGCCGCATGAGGTTTGACTCGTGTTGGACCAGGGCCGTGTGGTAGTGCACGATGCGCTCCTTCTTGGGCTTGGAAATTTCGTGCAGCAGATTGTTATGGGCGATTGTCGCAATCTCGCTATGTAGCAACGCTTCGAGTTCTTGGGCAGCCTGCGTGACATTGGTGCGCGCATCGACAGGCGATGCGGTCATGCCAAAGATCTTGGGCCGCCGGCCGCCCTCTGTGATGTCCCGGAAGGGGTAAAAGTCCTTGATTATGCGCGCATACGAGTGGTTCTTCTTTGTGTGGTGGGCCTCGTCAAAGATGAGTAGGTTGATCTGGTCCATGCAAATGTACGAGTGGTGGAGGCATTTGAGGAGAATGTCAGCCGTGCAGACAATCACCATGTGCTCCTGGAGTGTCGCATCCCAAAAGTCCTTGGACGACCAACGCATATCTGACTTGTCGCCCGAAAACTTGGCGACGGGCTGGCTGAGGTTGCACTCGAGAACGGCGTGCTGCTGGAAGACGAGGGCCACCTTGTCGATCAGGAAGAAGGAAACGCGATGGGGCTGTCCGTTTTCGCGGTCGTCAAGCTCGCGTTCGATCATATGCCGAAGCAAAAGGGCCGCAATCAGCGTCTTTCCGGAGCCTGTGTGTGGTATTTAGCGGCCAGCCAATATGCAAGAGAAAGTAAATTCAAACGGAGCACACTGCAACTCACCAGTATCCAGAACGGCGATGATGTTCTTCTGCTTGGCCTTCTCAAACAGCTCGATCTGGTAGTCGCGAGGACTCTCGATAATCTTGGCGCTCTCAAACTCGCGCACGAGGGCAGCCGCTGTCTTGTCCTCGTCGCAGAGTGCCGCAGCCATCGTTTTAGTGGTCTTGGTGATGCTGTCTCGATTCTGCGACAGCCACGAGTCGAAAGCATCGTAGTCGGCCCGCTTCTTCTGCGAGAGGCTGAACGCCACCTGCGCAGCAGCCGGCTCCAAGGCCGGCAGATCCTCCTCCTCCTCCCCATCACCGTTCGCCTCGTCGTCGTCGGTAACGTCGCCGGACGCGGTTCCGTCTGACACAAGATCCGCAGGCAGCGGATGGTGTGCATTGGTCGACAGCGGTTTGGCCGTGACTGCATCCTCACTTTCTATGATGTTGGGGCAGACGACCGACAGCGGCTTCGGCATGGGCTTCGCCCCAGCCATTGCCAACTGAGCGAGCTGGTCAGAGACGAAGCTCGATGCGAACGAAAAGTCCGAAGTCCCGGCATCGTCGATGCCGCCACTGCCCAGCGGTGCAGGAGCCATCTCGCCTTGTTTGTAGGTACGACCCAAGAGCGTCGTTTGAGGAGGCGAGAACGCAGAAGGCTCACTGCAGGTAGAGTGACAGGCGTGGTTATGCAGCTGTTGTAAATATCAAGACAGAGGGATCGAGAGAATGCAAGACTGTCTGCTTTGTGTGCTTTGTGTGCTTTGTGACTGCTTGCCGGTATGCTCGGTCTAGGAACCATATGAATTGAGAGTAAAGACTAGAGGCCTGCCTGTCAAACACTGTTTGAAGAAGCAGGCCACGGAGGCGAGAGACGAGAGTGCAGGCCGATGAAGGCCGGCCCTTTGCCTCAATGGGAGGCGGTCGTTCGTTTACAGAAGCTTTTCTGGTGTGAACTGAAAAAATCGTGACGCAGGATGTCAGAAGGTAGCGGTCACTTTGTCAGAGCCGTGAGAGGCTGAAGTGAGCAGGAGCAAACGACAACAAGCTGCTGTCGGTCGCACCTGCCTTTTCAGCAACTGCGTGACAACCGCGTCGCGACGCCAATGATTTTGGACGCCACTTTGCGGTGAGCAGAAGCTCGCAGTTACGTGACAAGATATTGAGCCGAGTCAATGTGTAGTTGGCCTCAAGATAGCTCACGATGTCCGGTGTTGTCTTTTACAACCGGGTCGTATGCAGAATGGTGATGCGCTGCACCGTCATACGGTGACTTGCACGTGTCGTCGTTGGGACAGAAAGTGCGACCCGACACCATCTGTGCGCTCTTGCCAAAAGACATGAAGAGAATATGCCTGTTTATATTACTCTCGATTAAATTACAACAGCCCAAACTGTCATACTTCTCACTTTGCCGCCTCTAAGATGCCATTCTCTCTCTGCCGTGTTTTCAACCGTCTACCGCCTTTCACTTTGTCACCGTTACCTGCCAAAGCCTGCGAGTCGTGAAGTAGCCGTTTGTCGCGTCCGAAACAGCAATGACGTAATTCTGATGTTCTGGCGGAAAGAGCAAACAGCAAACATCGCCAAACAGAAAAGGAAAGACCGCTCCACGAAACATGAACCAACGACACTGTCGGCATGAAATTGTCCGCGCCCTGTTGTTTGATCCTGTAAATACCACCTGAGTCATCCATACAAAGCCCACACCAAGCATGATTATTGAACGCCGCGTTGTCACAGTGTCCGCACAGGTGTCGTGGACTGCCTTATGTGGAAGGTGTGGGTCCACTGAATGATGGCCGAAAAGGCTGTCCAGCTGATGCACTCCTGCCTAAATTGCCCCACGCGCCAGTTGGACACAGTGCTGTCTCTCAAACGTGATTATCCTGCTGCGCTCGCTACCCCTCCCCACTATGCACTAGCGCACCTGCTGTACAGTGCTCGCATGAGTGGCATCATCCAACAACGCCAGCTAGCCTTCGCCCCTTCCCTCGTTATCGCCTCGAGCCTTATCCTGGTGCTCCACCCGGTCCTTCCTCTCGCCAGCGGGACTTCGTCTCACTACATTACCTTTGTGTCCCAACGCCTCTACTACACATTTGTTCACTTGGTTCAACTTTTTGGTCTCCCAGCATCTTTCTCTGCACCACCCACGCCAGCCTCCCGACTCGAGCCACAATCCCCATTGCGTTTGTCTCGTGGAATGTCTCCGTCGACGGACGTAATCTGAATCACTTCCCCACGACATCCGATTTTGCGTTGCTCCCTCGACCTTCTCGTCGGCCTTCTCCTCAACCATTTTGTTCTTCGACCTCTTCCTCGGCCTCTTCCTCGCCGACTGTGATCACGAACCGATCGACGATTTACGCTTCCGGCCTCCGTAGAGTCCACCAGCCAGTCTCGCTCGCACACGCACACGTCGCTCTTCCGTTATTCCGCCGAATCGCCGAGATGAGTAGTCCACGCCGCCGCATCGAGACGGACGTCATGAAGTTCGTGCACCCTCAGGCCGTCCGACAGCTTCGCATATGGCCCTCTCTTTCTTTGTCCTGTTTGACGTTTGCTAACCAGAACCTGTTTTTCGCTACAGGATGTGCGCACGACCCTCCCCGCCAGCGCCTTGCTAGGTCCTTTGCTATGTTTCCGGTATACTAACATTCTACCCAAGGTTGATGAGTGACTACGAGGTCACGCTGGTGCATGACAACAGTACGTCTTTAGTCCTGGATTTTGGTTCCTATGCTCCTAGTTGCTAACCTTGTTTCTGCGTCTAGTGTGAGCCACGAGCGTCGATAATCCCCCTTCATTTCGTCTCACATCTGCCTCTCTAACCCGACTGCGTCCCAACCTAGGCAAGAGTTCTATGTCCGATTCAAGGGTCCTGCGGAGACGCCGTTTGAAGGCGGTCTTTGGAAGGTGCATGTCGAGCTTCCCGACCAGTACCCGTATAAGTCGCCGAGCATCGGGTTTGTCAATCGCATCTTCCACCCGAACATTGACGAGCTGTCGGGCTCCGTCTGCTTGGACGTGATCAACCAGACGTGGTCGCCCATGTACGATATGATCAACATTTTTGAGGTGTTCCTGCCGCAGCTGCTACGGTACCCGAACCCCACAGACCCTTTGAACGGCGAAGCGGCTGCCCTGCTGATGCGGGAACCCAAGAACTACGATATCAAGGTGAAAGGTGAGTCGCGGAACAAAACCTACCTATCATTTCGCAGCGAGACGGCTTTCTAACATCTTTTTCCCAGAATATGTCCAGAAGTATGCTAGTAAAGAGGCGGCCGACGAGGCTGGTGCCGAGTCGGAAGACGACGACGATATGTCCTCGGTCGGCAGCTTCGACGAGGACGACGAGGACGAGCCGGCCGGCCAGATGGATGACGTATAATGAAATTCACTGCACCGGTACATCGAGTCCGACGAGCTTTGCCCAATACCCCATATTGACGTGTTTTTGGTTTTTTTGTTGTTTTGTTCCGGTCAACAGGTGTTTTGCCGGCATACTGTCCATTCCACATTTACGCACCCCCTGTTGTTCTCCATTTTGATTGTGTTGTGTGCTATTCCTCCTTTGTTTGATATTTCTGGCGTATGTGTACAGGTATTGGGAACCAGCAGGATTTTAGGGTTGAACCAGAAGTGTTACAGATACAGCCCCAGGCAGGAAAGGCAACGCCGGGACAACTCACGGCGCTGCATTCCCTCGCTTGGCAGTCCTGTGTTTGATTTTATCTACGCATCACCTCTCTCAATACGGTCTTTGGCACGTTGTTTTTTGTGTTGGTTTTTGTTTCTTGAGATAGTTAACCTCTTTTAGGAGAGCATATTACAATCACCAAAGACGTTTTTCAAAAATAAATCGTCTATTTTGGGGGTATCATACGTGTTCTATATCCAGTAAAGCCAAGAGCTACATGCCTTAATCCGAATCGTAACTCACCAGCGCCGTTGCCAATCTGCTCGACTTGCATTCAGCATCCTTCTCTTCCTCGTCCTCCACGCCACGCTTCCTCTTTGTTCCTAGTCGAGGCGGCTGGCGCTCCGGTGTAGTCATTGTCGCCGTTTTTGAGTCTGTTTCTGCTCTTTGGCGGAGATCGGCCACCGTGGCACTCTTCCTGAGGCCCTTGAGCCCTTTTATGGGCGGTTTTGTCTTTTCTGCGTCACTCTGGCTGCCGCCCGCCAGCGCGGCCACAAACGGATCCGTCGTCAGCCGTGTGTTAGCGAGCACCGTGGACGCCAGGTGGTCGCGGATTGAGCGCTGCCGCTTGGCCGCTTCTGTGGTCGGAGCATAGGTCCGGTTGCGTGAGGACGCCCATGCGGGTGAAGCCGACGAGGGCAAGGCGGAAAGCGACGCTGATTTGACAAGGGCCAGCTTGCCAGATACACTGCTGATACGGTCGGGCGGCTGCTTCTTCGCATCTGCGGCGCCTCCATTGTTCCCAAAAAGAGGCTGCGCCAGGGTCCGCCGGTCGGCGACTGCACTTGGCGTCTCACTGCCAGTCGGTTTGCTGCCAAAATCAATGAGCGCCGCATGCCGCGCGTCTGCCTCCGTCGCCGGCAGCAGGTGCAGGTCCTCGCTCAGTCCGCCCAGCCGCTTCCGCAAGCCCTCGTCGTCGGCCGCGGCCTGTTCGCGCGCATGGCGGCCGACGCGAAAGGCCGCACGTAGGGCGCGGTTGCGTTCGTACGGGTCGTCCCACTGGCGGGCATTGCTGCGCGTCAGAGCCTCAAGGCGGCGAGCGGCATCGAGACCGCTAATGGGCCCTCCCTGTGCCGGGTCGCTGGCACTTCCTGGCGCAGCCGGTGCGCGATGGACAATGGTCCGCTCAAGACGGTCAAACGCGTCGAGACGGTCCAGCTCGCTGCTACTGCCGTGGGCCGCATCGCCGCCCTCGACACCAGCCAACGCGGCCGCCGACCGCGCGGCAGCACTAGCAGGGTCCAGAAACTCTCCGCCCTCGTCTGCATCGTCGCTGTACTCGCGCCGCCGCCGGCCCCCTTCGACTACAATGTACGACGTTGATGCCGGATCCGTGCGAATAGCAATGTATTTTCCACAGGCCGGGTGCCGCATGCGGAACGTAAAGATGGGCGTCGAATAGTAGTTGCCCGTCTTGTGCTTCTCGGCATTGAAGCGGACGCCCTGGCCGATGAGCACGGGGTGCGTCTTGCCGTCGCGGCCGATCGTGCGCTCCTCACAGCCGTCGCACCACACTGCAAAGGGCATCTCGAAGCGCACGACAGGCACGCCGGCTGCGTTGGCCTTTTGCGCACGGTTGCCAAGAAGGCGGTTGCCCGAGACGACACCCTCCTGGTCGGGCGGGACGTAACGTCCCATGTTGAAGCCCTGCATGATGGATGTGGTGGGTGAGGCTGTCGCGGCCGGCTTGGCTGGTTGGTTGTGATGGTCGCGGTCGTCGTCTCGAGCAGAAACACGCTCGCCAACCAACTAGGGTCGTTTCGATCAATCCGGCACCATGCGGTGGCCGTTGTGTGTGGTGCGTCGCGTCGATGCGGTGCTGTTAAAAGATAACCGTTGTAATGGAGTGCAGTACGAAGTGCGGACTAGGCTGCCGGTTGGTCTCGATTTAGCAGGTGTGATATAGAAGGACGCTAAAAATATTAGTCAGCTATTCGCAGACAGTAGAGGCGAGGTCTGGCATTACTCGACGAATTAATGGTGACGCTCCTAATGTGATGACCATGAATAAATATTATCGCTTATCCCATGCCTATGACCTCCGTACGTGACCTTAATAGCAGAACATTTCGAAAGAGAGTAGGCGCGGCTGAGGCCAGGCCTTCACGGTATAGAATATGTCACCGTAAAATGATCAAAGACAAGAAACAGATGAAAAGCGACGTCAAATCAAATGCGAAAAGAAGAAACCAAGAATGAAGAACTCAAAAATGCAGAAATACAGAAATACAGGAACCAAACTCAATCCAACCATCCTGGTATCGCAAAAACTCTAAATGTGTATCAATAAAAACATCATATCTGCACATCCCTCGTGCGTACATTTTTTTCTCCTCTCGAAGCCCCACTCGTCCGTCTCCAGCAACGAGTAGAGTCGTGTGTTGTCTTCCTCGTAAGACAAGGAAGAACAGAGGTTTGGGCCCTGAAAGACCCTAACCATCAGCAGGAAGCTGCAACCAGGGGGTCGAGAATCTCGAGACACCCAGCTCACAAGTTGCTTTCCCTCACAGGAAGCCAGATTCGGCCAACACTCTGTTGCAAAACGTTAGCATCATGCCCAGCACGTATTGGGGGTAGGGGTCCTCGGGCCCAATCACGATGGATCAACAACGTACCTCACAATCTTTTCATCTTCGCGCTCACGAGGCTCCACCTGCAAACTCTTGTCGTACATCTCGTGCACGTCACCAGCTGCCTGCATGTTGCTGAGGATGTAGTCCTGTAGCTCCACGACCGGTTGCAGCAGGTATGCCACGTTTTGGTACTGCTGGATGTCGCGGATGACTTCGGCCGTCTTGGCTCGCTTGGCAAAATTGATCAGGTTGGTCTTCTTGATGATCGACGGGATACCGTCCTCGATGAAAGTAAGATCCGTCAGGTAAACACCAAAGAAGGGGATACACGGCGGGTTGGCCGCATGTAGCGCCTCGCGGTACTCGCCAAAGTTCTTTGTGCTGGCCATCAGTTTGCGCATGCTTTCGAGGATGGCCTGCGTTTTCTGCGGCACAATGTCCCATGTTCTCTTGAGGCGGGCAATGGGTGCGGTGCCAAGTGCCGAGATAATCGACGTCAATGTCGAGAAGTTGTTGAGGTTCCGGCATTTCTACGTTTGTTAGCATGGTATACCTGGGAAATAAAAGACGGGGGAAAACAAGGGAACCAACGCCATGGACATACATCTGCAACAGCAACAAAGTGCTTGATCACAACAACACGCTTCTTCACGTCTGTCTGCGCAAGAATCATCTCGGCGACCCAGTTCGTCATCTGGTTCGAGTGCAGAATGAGTGCCTTGACATTCGGTGCCGGTTCGGGGTCGCCCTCTGCGACCTTCTTCTGCCATGTCTTGTTAAGACACTCGGTAGGCTTGATTTTGCCGTACAGGCGCGATTCGATAATGGTCAACTGGCGGGCGAATTCTGTCACATCAATGTCGAGGAACTTGAGCTTCTTCATGTTCTTGGGCATGATCGGTGGCGGCGTGTTCTGGTTCAGCGTCTGAATCAGGCGTCTCGCACCAGTGTCCTTGCCACTCAACCGCTGGTCCAAAACAGCCATCAGTGGCGCCGAACCCGGTGTCTCGGTCGACTTGACCGTGTCTCGCGCAAAGGTATACACGTCGCGGATTAATTGCTTTGTTTCCTCGAGGGACGCATCCTCCATCCAAAAGTTGTCGAACCAGTTCTTGATGATGTTGACCACACGGAACCGAATGAGCTTCTGCTTGCGGTCGCGCCATTGCTCAAACTCGGCTTGCGTCAGGCCTTCTGGTGCCTGGATGCCGAAGCGCTTCACCAACAGTTCAAAGAGCTCACGTGCTGATGTAAACGACCGGTATGTGAGGAGGAACGTGTTGTTGAAGCTCGAATCCAGCTTGTCATGGCGTGTGAGCTGCTCAACAAGTGCCAGCAGAGAGCCACCCTTGACTTGAGGGGGCTGGATCTTGAGGTCCCAGGACAGGTCGTTTTCGAAATCGGGCCGCAAAAAGTCGGGCGTGTCGTCAACCATAGTCGACTGTGGTGACGGGTCTTCACCAAGCAGTTTCTTGAGCTTCGAGTAGTCGCCACCCTTTCTGTATGCCTGTGCCGCCGCATCGCTGCCTTCGCTGAAGGATTGTGCTTGGATTATTGGTGGCCGGGTTACCATGCCGCGCGATTCGGTCCGTTGGTGGTTGAGCGTCGCCGACGATGCTACAGAGCCCGCCGAGGAAGGAACAGCGGTGGATGCGACCGACGACGCGTAGGGCATAGTCTCGCCCCGGCGCAGTGGCTCGCGCGCCGTGCTATGGTCGTCACGGCGCGATTCGGCAGCTTGTTGCATGTTGATCTGGACTTGCTCGGACAGCAGCTGGAGTGAGAAGCCGATGTGGGACGAGTTGGTCTCGAGCGCACGGTCGCATTGCCGCACATATTCCAAACGATTCTCCAGAGCTTCGCCACGGACCTCTGCCCATTCATCGGCAAGTGGCCCAGCAACAGCCTGGCAGCCGAGCAGGAGGTCGGAAATATTGTCGTAAAGGCTTTGCTTGTTGGTGCTAAAGTCGGCGAGTTGCGGCGTCTGGAAACTGTTGCCAAGAACAGACAGGTCGATCGACTCGATCATGGCGATCCACGGTTTAAACATTTCCAGGACCTTACCGCCGGCAATGCAAACGTTGTTGCCAATCACCTCGTGCTTGAACGGCGTGACAACCTTGTCAGTCATTGTCAGGTACTTGTCAAGCTCACGAATGCTAGACACAAGCATGCGTTTCAGCTCATCCAGTCTCTCCAGCAGCTTGCCGTCCAAAACCGTCGAAGGTTCTGATGCGCCTTCCTCGTCGTCCAAAAAGTTGGAAGCAATGGGGTCGCGGGCGCCAAGGGAGTTGTTTTGCCAGGTGCCGCCAGTGCCACTCCCAATAATGAAGCCAGGGAAGAGACGAGGGATTTCTTCGCCACGCTGCTGTCGGGCAACCTCCACATAGCTAAAGACGCCGGAAAGAACACCATCCGCCTCTTGCAGACACTTCTGGACCGATTCCGCATTTGGCCAGTCGGCGGCGGCAATGTGCGAAGAAATGACCAGCTTCGAAAACTTGGACATCATGTCTCTGAAATGGGGGTACAGGGCCTTGTTCGTCGAGATGATGGAAGGTTGTCCAGAGTGGTTGTCGGTCGTTCCAGAACCGGCGGCAAGAAGAAGGCGCAGGTGGTCCGAAATGTCCTCGGCACGGGCCACATATTCCGAGCGGTTGTTGGAAGTGACGGCATCGCGGTAGCGGTCGATCGACTTTTTCATGTTGGACACGAGGCGACTCCAAGTCAATGGTGGTGTGCTGCCGTCGTCGAAAAACGACCGAGGAATGGTCGCAGCAGTGGGCAGGTTGAAGGTTGTGGATGTGAAGGACGTGGCTGCGGCGATCATAGGCGTGAGACCGTTGCCGTTGGCTCCGTTTACGCCATCCGCGCCAGGCTGGCCCGATGCGAGCTTGCCACGTGTTGGTGACTGGCCGTTCATAGACTCCATGGAGATGGTAGGAGAGAGGGTATCGTTGGGGAAAGAGCGGTGGTTACGGGGCTTTGCATAGTGTTAGATACAAGGCAGAGTGTGCCAGCTGGCAGGCAGAAAATAGAAAGGCACAAGCACAAAGCAAAATCGCAAGATGAAAGGGAACACGGCTGGAAGGATTTTCTTACCAAAGACCCACGGGACGCCATGAGAATCGACTCGCCCTCCATTTCGGACGCCGAGTTCGCCTCAGAGTCTTCATCCTCGTTCTGGGTCAGTCCTCGCGCCATCATCTCCGGCGGGGGCCGCGTGCGCTCGGGAACATTCATGTTCATGCGGTCACGGGGGCCGGTTTCGGTAGCGGATGTGGGCGATTCCAGCGGCAGCTCCATGCAGCTCTCGCCAGTCATCGTGTTGTAGTAGAATAAGCGGCCGTCGGGGGTAGCCTGTGGTATCCAGTAATCGGCGCCGGACCGGCTGGTATTCGACTCCGTACCTTCTAACGGCAGGCCAGTGATGTCGTCTGTGTCGTCATCGTCCTCGTCATCGTAGCCCTCCTCGTAGACATCCTCCTCCATATCTTCATCGATGTGGTCGGCCACACCGACGCCATTTTGCTCGGATTCGGGAAGCTCGTCGGCGCTGGTGATAAGCTGGCAGTAGTTGCTTGGGAACCAACCGCGGACGCCGTTGATAACCCCATCCCACCAGCCGCTCTCCAGTTGTGTGATGACCTGGATGACGTCGCCTTCGTGGAAGCTCAAGCTTGTTCTATCGTCCGCCTCGTAATCGTACAGGGCCCGGACATACATGGCGCCAGGAGGCGCTGTTCCTACCATGTTGTTCATGTGAAGGTGTAAGGTCGCTTTGGTTTTCGGGGTGGTTGTGGTATAGATTATAGGAAAGGAAAAGGGGGCCGAGCCAATCTCCAAGACCGCACGACCGTCGTCAATAAAACTCTAGGGAGCTTCGTGAAGCTGTCTTGCTATTGAATGTGCACCAGTACTGAGTCCAAGCTTTGAATCATAAGCATGGTGTGTAGGCAGTCGTGGAGAGTCGATTCGACAGCAATTCAAGATCTGACTGAGGAGCAGCAACTGATGTAAGGCGATGGAATGGTAAAAGGACGGCGAGAAGATGTGGAGTCCACGGAGAAAGCTGATGTCAACCAGATCAACTTCTTGCTCTCAATTTTATTTACGATGCCAGCGTTGCAATGGACTCCTTTGTCTTCCTTGCAGTATACCGTTCTCGTCTGGCGATAGCACTTTGAGCGCTTGCCGTGTTCCAAGACAGCTGAGAATCAGCAGTTCCGCCGTGTGTATATGTGTCTTGTATCGAGAGGGCAAGACGACAATAGTAGCTGGCAATGACGAAGAAGACAAAGGCGCGCGGTGATCCGTCGTGGAGGCTGTATGGGAGCCGTTCGGAATCGAAGCGATGAAAGACGTGGACAGCAAGGCTGAGAGTCGATCGAGGGATCGAGTTGATGAGGGCAGACGGCGCCTGTTCTGATTTGTTGGTGGCTCCCTATGAGTCTTGAAAGGGTCAAGATCAAAGGACGCTGAAAAAAAGGATTAGAAGGATTGTTGTCGGGTCCTTTGACAAGGAAAGACGGAGGTCGGCAACGCAGCAGGTGAAGGGGAAGGCGTGGCCTGTGATTGCCAGAGCGAAAAGGTAGAAGTAGGTGGCAGGAGGTAGAAAAGTGACACCGAACCCAGTTCGCGGAAGGGGTGACCGTGTGGAAAGTGGAAGGAAGCAACGTCGTCGGTCGTGTTCCTGCCCCTCTCGGCTCCAGGTCGTCGTTTTGGCGATTCTTGCTTCGCTCAGGGCAGGAGCGAGATGGCAAGACCTACTTGGGAAAAAGAGAAAGAGGGGGCTCAAAGGTTGCGCTCTGTGCGGGCAGGAGAGAGAAAGGAGAAGGAGGGGTCCAATAGCGTTCGAGAGTTGGGCTTGGATGGTGGATTTAGTGGAGTATTATGGGGAACGAGAAAGATCAGCGGAGTCGGAAACTGGTGTGTTTAGTGGGTTTGGTGGTTGTTTGTGAGCAACTAGACCAAGCCAGGCCGTGCTGCCGGTATTAGCCAGCCGTTTCAGAGGGGCAGAGACAACGCCCAGTTCGGTGAGCAATACTGTGGTACGGCGCTGTTTCTGTTGTCTCTGGTGCCTTTCCAGGCTAATTGGGGTGTGCCAACATGGGAAAGGGATTTAGGGAGGTTGCGAGTTTGCCCAATGCCTCCTTCCTGTCTCGTTGTGTCTGCGGCTCCTCCCATTCTCGAATCTCGAGATGTCCTGCTCCATGTGTCGTGCTTTTGCAACGCATCGCAACTGCCCTTTCTGTCCCTTGGGCAAGGCAGTTGCTCTTACCCTTCACTTTCCGACAGTCACGTCTGACCGTTGCGGGCCTTGCCCAGCTCGCTCCTTCCCTTCTTGCAGACAACTTCCCTGCAAAACACGCGAATCTCACCTGGCCCCTGCTCTATGCGTCTTATCATTTTTTTGTTCGTGCCTTCCTTGTCTTCTTAATGTTCCCTCCCCCTATTGTTCCCCTCCTTTCTCGGCCGGTTTATTTCGTCGAACATCTTTCCCCCACTGCATTTCATTTTGTTCTTCTTCTCACCGGCGCTACGCCAAATTGGCTCGGGACCTCGCCTGTCAGGTCTTCTGTTCGTCTTCTTTTCCCTTTTGATCGCTTAGTTCTCTTAGCATGAAATGCACCATGTACGCACGGCCTCAGAAATGTCGCCAGATGCAGACACACACATATTCGCCGCCCTCCTGGAGATCGCTGATCTCCCAAGATGGATGTCTGCTGGCCCTCTCTTAGCTTCTAGGGCCGCTCTGGATTTGGACGAGGAGGGAGCAGGCCACGGCAAAACACGACGACATCCACACGACTGACGTTGTGTGCACCAACAGCTTGGCAGACCCTGGCACTTGGCCAATTTTGCATCGAATCTCGGGGGGTAGAGCACTGGGGGCCTTGACATGCGCCAAAACTCGCCGGATGTGCCTTTTGCGACCAGAGCCATGGCAAAACAACAACGTGAGACCATAAGAAACGCTAAAAGAAGGGAGAAAGAAAGACAAAAAGAAAGGGTCCGAAAACATCAAGGTTCTTTGTTCCAATTGGACTACCGGAACGTCTCGCGTTTCCTGCTGGTGCACAAATTGCGCCTGGCCTGGTCTGGCTTTTTGGCTTGACTGGCAGTCCCGTTGGGTTGGTGGGGGAGGACCGCGAGCCGAGCCAGAATTGTACCACAGTGGCATCTTCAAAACCGAAGAACAGAAAGTGGCCCACCAACTACCAAATGCCAGCGATTGGCCAGTGCGCCATTGTCTCCAGTTCTCAGACCTTGAAGTGAACAATGAAAGTTCGCATCGACATTCAGTAAGTAATCTTCCTCTTGACAAGCCCCAGTCCAGTTCTTCACCGAGCCTGGGCGTGCACGTCCTTGCGGGAGTGCCATGCACGACGGATTGGCGAACAGTGTTGCAAATCACACATTCAGACAAACCACAGACCCAACAAGCAAGTCATTCCAGGACTAAGCCCCAAAAGAGGATGGGAAACTCAAGCACTGGCCTCCTGAAATCAAATGACTATCTCGATATACCGTGACCAGGATATATCTGGCTGAACTCGCCCATCCACCAAGTCGTCTTCTCTGTCACTGCCCAGCTCGCTTGGGCACGTCACTTTCTCGTGAAGAGACACAGCGAAAAATTGTATTATGTCAGGTCGTCGCTGAAATGGATGATTATACCAGTCTCGTCGACGAACAAGTCTGGTTTATCGCCCGCCCGCCCACATGTCCTAACCGGCTCCTGTTGCCCACATCGTCCCGGTTTCACCAAGCATAAAACAGCAACTCAAGAGGGAGAAAAAAAGAGAAAAAGGAGGGAAAAGAGGGGATTAACCAACCGGAGAAAGTCCAGATGGCAAATTAGGAATTACAGAGAATGTGTACATGGGATTGGGAGAACCACATGCAGGAAAGTTGGTCACGGAGATTTGCTCGTCTCGATTTCATATTGTCCTGTTGAGTCTCCTCTTTCAGCTGCCTGCCACTGTCTCTGGTCGCTTCCTCGGCTCTTCTGATGCTCGATTTTTATTTTATTTTATCTTTTTTACTTTCTTGACATATTTTCTGTGTCGTAATTCGTCTTCTCCTCCCTGTGTTCGTTTTGGTATCGCATTACATGTTGTGCTCTCCACACACCACCTTCTCTCCAGGCCGTCCCGTCTCGCGTGGCTCGGCCGTTCTCCAACCGCCGAGTGGATCATAATTATTTGCCCCTTTTTTTCCTCTTTCGTTCCTTTCTTCGATTGTCGAGTTCTTTTGTTCTTTGTCCTCCTTGTTCCCCAGATTACCAGATGGCGTGCGGAGCATTGCAGGGTCTGGCGTTCTTGTTATTTGGCTCTACCCTGCATCGTCATTCGACAACAGTCCATTCAACCACAAACCGCTGCACCCTACCCGATTCTCCCTTTTCCCGTCCGCTATCCTGCACGGTCACGCATGCGACGTCCCATGGCCTGGCCTGACGCAGCTGTTTCTGGCGCTCCCGAATGCCTTGTCAAACGACAAGTATGGCCAATAGACCAGTGGCTTCACGTTAAGAGTCAATGTCCCGGACCTTTTGGCCTCATTTGCCCCATACGTTGTGCAGGTCACGAAGCAGCAGCCCTTCAGCCTTTTCAAAGCAATGTCAGGTTCTCGAAAAGCACATGCGACGGGCAATCACTTATATCAAATACTGAAGAACGGCACAGCACATCAGTCGGACATGGGGAGGCTCGATGTTGCTCGATGTGTGGTTGCAGGCACATCACGAAATGTCGACCTGATTTTCCCCGCAAAAATCACTGTGCAACGGATGGGCGGCCCGCGGTCAAATTTATGACAGGCCGCAGAGTCAAAAAAAGCAAGTGCCAGGTGTTATGTTCACTGTGTCATCAGAGACGATGCGAGGTTGAAAGTGACCGACAGCAGAAGTGTGGCAAGGTCGGCACTTTACATCAACCGTCCGTTTGTTGGTAAAAAGCAAAGCGCTCCAGGTACCTCTTCTCCTCCTTCGGACGAGCCCAAATACTGTGCGCTGTTCATCGCATCAAAACTCAGAGCAGGCCGCGAGTCATGCGAACCGTCTGTCGGTCGCTCGCTTCGCCTTGTACAAAACGCCCAGCGAGTGCAGGAGGTTTCCCGTCCTGAGCATAGACCGTCATCCCTGTCCTCTTATTTCCCTTGAAAGCAATGACAAGCATAGAAGCAGCCGTCGGAGAATATCACAAAACACATTCTTCCTTGGTGGAAAATCATACGTCACCTATTACACGTCTCAGACAAATTTGTCAGTAGCGATGAACTGGTTCAGACAAACGAGACGGTGGCTGGGGAACTGCAAGGCAGCTTAACAGCAATAATATCCCGCGCTTCCGTTTTGGCTTCTACAGAATGGCTTTGCAGCCAAGCACAGTTGATGGGCCAACGCCGCCAAGCGACCGGATGCTGCCTTGTCCCGGTGTCTGGGCACCATAATCGAACTCCACCCTCTCCGGCCGCGTCATAACCGCTTCGGGCGTGCTTTTCGGGGTGCCGCGTGGTAGGCCCACTTCGGCAGACGAGAATATTATTATACGTTTCGGGCTCTTCCAAGCTTCGTATTTTGTGCGATATTCGTTGCCATGTTGCAGTCTCCGTTCGTTTGATTTGGTAGGCCGGCCTTTGCTGCTGCCGCCAGGCGTCACAAAGTCCTGCTGTCGTTTATATATAAGCATATATCATATACTCGTACGGTTGGTCCAGCTCGGAGTGGTCCTGCGATACGACCCACATAACCACATTTGACACTTTGCGGTTGACGTGCAAGACGTACTACATCAACAGGGTTCGAAAAGTGGTACAGAGGAGGCCCGTTCGGCAACTCGACTCACGACTCACGACACATGACACGCCAGAAAGCCGTTTGCCAGCTGAGCGGTCTCTGAACAATGCTTCGGGGATGCAACGACTCCGATGCGAATCGCTACCCGTCCGTGGTTTGGGTATTTGGCCGGAGATGATCCCAATGTACGATTGCCTACTTTCCCCGACTGTTGACTTCAAGGCCGTTTTGTGGCTTGATCACGACCGATAGCTCTCCGGTCAAGAACACATCATACAAATGAGGATCACAGCTACGAGGTGGAGTGCAACCGAAACGGCTTTTGAGACCTTCTCGGTATCTTGGGTGCTTTCATAAAAGCTTTTGCAGGTCCAGTTCCGATAAATACCGCAAAAGACCCAGTTCATGCCCGTTCTCTTGCTCGACCCTTCCACCGAAGCAGCATCAATGCCCACCATCCGGCGAACACGGAGGTCAATATAATGGTATCGATGCTGGGTGTCGTTGCAGAGTCGGTCGGCCTCGGCCGCGAGGCCCAGGCTGCCTATCAAATGAGTCTTTGGTTTCGAGAATGGCCCTGCATGCGGGCCGTATGGCGTCCTGTCCATCCGGCTGCGCTACATCCGCCACACATCTGGCGTTGAAGGGCCGAGTCCATCGTGGTGGAGGGAGAGCAGCGAATGACGGTCGTGGCTCCTGTGTTGGATGATTCATTTCGTTTCGCCTTCAACTCCATCACTGCTCTATGCCTACTACGAGGGCTACGTTTGTTGTTGGCTTGGAGCCACATTCTTCGTACACTGAAGTCCCGGCGTATTGACCTACGGGTCGTTGGTTGTCGAGTCGTATAAGCGCTGTTGTTCTGGGCTGTTATCGTGGGCATGTGTGCAAGGGATTAGATATGACGTACGGAGTACATGTATTCGTATGAATGTATAAATGACAACAATACGAATTGTGGCGATTTAACTTAATATTCATTATATATGTATATATATGTCACTGTTTTGTCTTCTTGTGTGTGTGTGTTTTTTTTCTTTCAACAAAAACACTCTTTTATTTCCCGCCGCTTCACAAATATGAAAACAAAAATAAGGAATGAATTTTGCCTCCGCGATACATATATACGACAATACACAAACCTGCCCTGCACAGAAGAGAAAGTCTCAACGCCACAAATCTCGCCCCGGACAATAATAACAAAGCCTTTACGCAGTATGTCTTGCCAGGTTGTATAGACTGTTCTCACGACCACTTTGGACCACTTTTCACATCTGCATTCGACATATGTAATTTATTTGGCCTATCGACTATGCCGCTGTGCACCTCTGCAAAAGCCAATTATCGGTCAGTCTTTGACCTCGGCGTTTCTCGTCACGAATTCATTACAGCCGGGGCCACCCCCATTCCAAGGCGGCTAGGAAGCCGCATGAATAAGTACAAGAGCTCGCTGCCCAACTGCTACAAGAGACTACATTACTAAACTCTCGAGGCGGTGTGCCGGAAGGTGGGCCTGGTTTGGCCCCGGCCGATGGGTCTGGAAGGGATCCGGAGCCCGCCAAAGACGACCACGGAGTACAGAAACGCCCACACGCGGAACATCCAGTCCACTGTTGCGCTTCCTGACCGACTCGAACACGGCCATGGGAGGAGTGGGAGGGCCATGAACAGTTTCTGGCGGTGTCGTTCGTGGGGTGGCTGGGAGGGAGGGAGAGACCAACACCAGGTCTTTTACGTTTACAAGTACAACATATGTAGGGCACATTATTACGGGAGTATTTCGTACTGTGTTCTAGACACAACATGCATGAGATGCAGGAACCAGGGGTTGGTTTTGCTGCAGGTGTGCCTAGGCGAGCAGGGCGCCGGAAGGCCGGCCGGCGTAAAAGGAGGGGGCCTTGTTGCCGCGGGACAGCACTCCGTACATTCAAGAACGCCGGCGTCTTCCCGTTTTCTCACTCTTCAGCTTTCCCAAGCTCTCTCCCCTCCGAGTCTTCACCGCATACCATGAGTCCAATCGAGCAAAACTCAGAAGATGGTCTCAGACGGGTCTTGAACGGGGTATGTATGGCGCACAGTGGTGTGGCCGGTTCGATTTTGCAAGGAAGCAGAGGCCGAGGACGGAGTTTGACGTTTGCACAAATGACTTTCTAGATTCATATTGGCCCACCGGAGCTGATGCTCGAAATGTCGGTGATGAGCGACGGGGGGCGCATTCCGGAGCGTTTTCAGCTGTCACTACGTAGTAAGGACACTTGCAAGAAAGATGCTCGATCTTGCTTCTTTTTCTACGATTTCAAAAGCTCTCTCACTTCTCGATACGAATATGCACAAATCAGCCGCCAAAAAATGATAACTAATCGACAACGGCAACAACAGAGCAGCACAAGAGAGTCCGTCGGTCATGATGCTGGGTTCAGTTGTCCGTCTTTCACCGACTTTTGCGACTACCGCCGTTAGAAAGCATACGGAGAACGGAAGTGCAGTGGTTGTGGAGAGCTATGGAGCTTCATGCAGCTACAGCTGCAGCTGCAACGATGACACAGCAAACTGGTATGGGAAAGAACACCACTGGTACCGTGACGGCTCAAGCTGAGAAGAAAGACGGTGAACAGCTGGTCATTTTCGATTTTTCGTCTCTTGCTTGTCGATTTGACCCTTTTTCTCTTCTCATCTTTCTGTTCCCATAGTGACTACGGTATGCATGTACTTTAGTCAGTCTCCATTTCCCAATCCCCCATTCCTACAGAAGTATTCCCACTTTGCACGCCTCCGTTAATAAGCTGGAGATGCAGTGGGTCGCTGTAGCGTTTTTTTCGGCTTCGAAGGCCTGCCTGCCATTCATAGCCGAAACTGAAAATGAGACCCCAAAGAAAAACGGGCCTATGAACCTACAATGGGCCTCCTGGTAGCGGCCGGCTCGGGGCCTAGGAAGGAAGGGAAGGGAGCGGGACGCTTTATGATGCCCCATTGATTGTCGCTCTCTTTCCGCTCGAAAGAGACCAAAAAGAAAGAGCGATAGAGACGCTAAGGCCGGACCGCTTCTTATAGCGTCCTTTTTGAAGTTTTGTTGCTTTGGCAGCAAAGAGGAAATACTCCATAACTCCATTTGAACTTCGGCGTGCGTGTCGTGACCTGCCATGTTTACTCCACGAAAGAGAAGCTGCGTCACTATGTTTGCTGAGAACGCGGCGACGCCGAAAGACCGAGACAGTTATGTGCACTTAAACGACGGCACCCATGGAAAGCATCGATGCGCATCACACAGAAGAAAAGGCCCCATGAAAAGAACGTTTCGAACCGGCCCCATAGAATCAAAGGAAGGCGGATAACGTGAGCAATAATCACAAAAAGGGGGGCAGAGACGCTGGCGCGCCGTCCGTTACGGAGTCATTGCAAGCCCCCAGCTGGCCAGCTGCCGATTGGAGATGCCCGGAGCCACGGTGCTGGGGCCCTCTTGGTGGCCTCTTGCCCAGGCCAAGGAAAAGGGATTGCCAAGGGGGTTTGGATTAGTAGTACTTCCTCTTTCGTCTCGCTTTCTTGACGTTGGAGCCGTCGTACTTTGTCGCCTTCAGGTGGGAAAGTCCTAATCTTACAGCAGGGGGTGTGAACAGCAAGGGTATCCATAATGATGACGAGCCAAAGCAGAGAAGGGGATTTGGTGGGAAAGGAGACAAAAGGAGAGATCGGGCTGCCCATCAAAAGACACCGAGTATTGGCGATGCGCTGGCCAGTCCTCATTTTACGCTGGGACCCGACGATTGGTGCTTTCCTGACGATGCTGTGGAAAGGGAGGATAGGGGGTGGCAAACGCAAACACAGGATCAACAGAAAAAAGGAAGCACGTCGCACATCTCGGTGGCCAGGGAGCATGAAGTCAGTGACAGTGTGGCTTCTTTTCTTCTCGTTTTCGTTCTTTCTTCTGGTCTACCTGCAGCTGTCTCTCATCCGTATCCAATGGTAAAACCACGCCCCTACGCCTCAGCCAACAGGTGGCGGTGATGATGCGGTGAGCGGATTGAGCGCCTCATAGCAACTGGACTTCGACATCGATTGGGGCCTGCCTCGCGTCGCGAACTGAGAGCGCACCACAGCGACAGCCACGACGACATCAAAAGTAACAAGAAACGAAAGGAGGAGTGGAGTCTGGTCCCCAAAATAGCCAGCGTAAGGAGACGCCAAAGAACGAAAGGAAATCAGGAGATATTAAAAAAGAGAGATGTCTTAATCGCGAAAAACTCTGCACGTAACCCCTGTACTGCAAATTTCCGGCATCCCCAGAAACCGCATTTCGGTTGGCTCGCGAACATGACATTCCCAGTCGACAGCGGGCTGTCGCGTTCCCCAAGCGTTCTGAACGACGTAAACTTTAACTGCTTCACAGTGGACACATGTCGCGCTGTTCGTTGAGGATGTTTGCGACGCGGTCCGCTCAGCGAGCCGTCCTGCATCCATGTCCCAATATCTTACCTCACTAACGCCCGGCTTGTTTTTTTCTAGAACCGAGAATAAAGGAGCTCTGAAATGCCCCAATCTGTTCTCTTTTACCTGTAAATGAAGAGGGAGAGATATTGCCTAGTAAGCACTTTCTGCCTCCATCCCTCGCAATGTCGGGTTCTTCCCAACCTCCTGTAATAAAATCCAACAGGGTAACGCAACACTGTAACATCATAGTAAGAGATATAGGTGCTCGTCTGGTACTTTTTCTTCCTGATCTCATCTCCTTCGACTTTTAATCTGCGTCACGTCTCACAGACACTTTGTATTTTTATTTTATTTTATCTTAGACTTGTTTGGGGCACAAGTACTTGGTAATCTTACAACATACTGTCGTTCTCTGGATTTCTTCCCCCTTTCACTCCGTCATCTCTCTCATGGCTCCTTGTTCCACACCCGAACTAGACCCATGCTCGTCCCAAGATTTTAAATGGCACCTCCCTCGTCTTCTCCCCCCCCTGTATATTGAGTGTGTTTTCCACTCTATTATGGAGCATACTTGTCTCTTCTCGGCACCCTAACGCCAGCGGAAGACAGCCCCGGGCGACCTTAGTACCGATTTGGTGTCCTGCTCGTTGGAGCGGGTGGGAAACGCAGGTCAAGCAGGGCAAGCGACAAGACGAGAGACTGGGGGAAGACTGCTGGAAATTGGCGATCGGAGGGATCGAGAAGAAAATGAGGTACGGCGTAAAAAAGTTGGAAAAGACGTGGAAAAGACGCGACAAGAGTGAAATGATGCGAACCCCACCTGATTTTCGCATTTCTGACCCCTCTGGCCCGTTGTTGTTCTCGGATACTTTTGGCCATGACGCAGATATTTATTTGGCTCTGAGTGCGTCCGCGTGTGATGATGTGCTTTGTCCATCCTTGCTGTCGTCCATGGTTCATCATCCGTGTCTCTGCGGATGTGCACCCGGTCTGGCATGTACGGACGCCTTCAATATACTCCAACCTTTGCGCCATGGACAGCTTCACAAACACTGCGGACAGCATAAATTAAAACGCGCCGTCAGGAACAGACCAAGGAATGCAGTGCAAGACGCGGTGCTGCTTTTGTCAAATACGAGGCGCACACCCAGGGCGCTGCACCTGCTGGAAATTGCGCCCAGTAATTGTGTAATAGAAAACCCAATACACTCAAAGGCGTTATTCGTGGGTTGCACGGATAATAATGCTCTGTGATTGTGTGTCTATTTGACGCGACGATTGACGCGACGATTGACGTTGTCGCGCACCTGCCGAAAACAAAACCATTCGCTCGACCTCGGCCACTGCCGCAATAGTTGACTGCACTATCAAATTAGTGCCTCGTGCCACGCTGCTCGCTCTTACCTCGCCAAAACAGGAAGGCACAGCACACCCGCACAATACAGTGTGCAAACAGCGCACACTGTCTAATTACACAGGTATGCTGGTCGCAACGAGTGACACTTTTACAGAAAGGGTGACGAAGGAGCGACAAAGTGGGGTTGGTCGTTGTCTGCATTTTGCAGCCGCTCTTTCTTGACTTGTTGCTGTGCTATGGTCACGCAGTTTGCGGTTTCCTCTTTTCCCTTTTGAGCACTCTTTCCTCTTCCATCTTGCATCGTATTACCTCTTTCCTGCTGTCACCCCTCGCTTTCGCCTCGCCCTGTTCGCGCTTTCTTTCCTCGGTATTCATGCCCCCGCTTTCGCCTTCCCCTCCTGTCTCGTTGCCCCAAAGACGCCCGCGTGTCCGCTAGCAGGTCACCCGCTGCAGTTTTTTCGCTTCTGACCCTCTGCTCTTTCTTTCTTTGACTTGTTAGCGAGGGGTAAACCCGTCTTAGGGCGGTTTTCTGCTACCCGTTTGCTGCTTCTGTGCTTTAGACCCCTCCAACGTTGTTTCTTTCTCCGCTACCGTTGTCTCTTTCCACTGTAAATTGGCGGTTCGAGTACCTGGCCAGCGTCCCTGCGACTTTCAGGGCCAGTGCAGAGCTTAGAAAAAACTAATACGAAGAAAAGCCACCAAGTGGGATGTTTCGTGCCGTGTTAGTTGTTGATGGGTTTTTATACTGTATTTATTCCTGTTGTTGAATAAACTGACTGACGGCTCCTTACACGGCAAGTGCCCTTTATGCCCTTTTTCTTGCTGGCTCTTTTTTATATCGAAACGACCTTGAAACTGCCCCTCACTTTAGACGTTGTTGCTGTTTCCCGATGCGGAGCGGACGGGAGAATAGAAGAAGCATCGTTGGCATGAGGGGCACGTGAGGTGTTGCTGGCATCCTGCCGCTTCGACGGAAGGAGCAT